GTTCATGAAAATTCAGATGGCGCATTGATACTGCGTTGCGTCCTGTCATTCGTAAGCGTCGATTTTCCTTTCGAAATTTCATAAATAGCCATCCTGATCACAGTGAACGAAGCTTGTTCTCATTGATTTAGTTACATGTTACATACTGTTAATGCACAATATACCACTGTGTTCAGATAATGCGAATTATTACAACACCATTGTTATATTATACTTATTATACGTACGTCGGATACTGTAATTGTAGGTGCGTTTAGGAAAGAAAGTAGTGAGCGCCTACACATGACCACTTCCTCGTTTCTTCTAATGGCAACAGTTTTAACAGCGGAAGACCCTGCGGAGATCTTAGCGACAGCGGCCTTACCGACGTTATAGTTCTGCGTCTCTGGAAGTCTGCTGATATTAATCTGCTGACGCTTGGTGGGAGGGGGAGCGACCTCGTTATATTATGTTGTCATATCCTAAATGGAGGAGGCTTCAAGGTGCGTCAAATGGTACCGACAGACAGCGACGAAGTGGATCAACAGCAACTTCAACGGTAAGTGCTGTGAATGAGCGAATAATGTATTCGACAATTAAGATATTGGACTGGCCTGAGCGGTCAGTCTATTGACTGGCCAGGCCGTTACGGAATGGCCTAAAATCCCTTGTGGATGCTCCACAAGTTGGACTCTAAGAGCACGACGATGATGGCTCATTACAAAAGTGCTCGACCCTCAGATATTTCCAATTTAGGGGCAATATTGCAGTTTGCGGCCATTTACGGCGCTTTGCATGCTGGCGGCGTCCTCGGCTAGTCCGTACACAACCATACGGTGAATGCATGTTGATATATTTCAGCGAACATTCCATGCACGTGCAGTAAAATTACCCCCAACTGAATGCTTGCATACAACATTGTGTCATTGCGTATATGTCATGTCCGTATAAAAATAGCCGAGAATCGCTCGGTATGTGTGTATGTCTAGGAGAACATTTTACTGTATATTTATGCAGTCAGTAGTAGCACGTACAAACTGAGTACATAAAAGTGGATATAACCGTATCACGAAGAAATAGGGTTCTACGTAAGAGAGGAGCATTCATCGTTGAGGACAGTCACACAGTTGATGTTGATATCATTGCCGTTTGTCAAAGTTAGGGTTTTTCTCAAGCGGAATACGAAAGTATTCTCATCCTAATGGCTATGAGCCTAATAGGGGCGCATGAACTAGATGACGTTTACAACTTGCAAATTTAATCTATTATTGTTATGGTTGCTACGTAAATGGTCAATTTTTTTTTTTGCAATATTGCGTTGTTCGCCGATCAAAAAGCGCAACTGACCTTTTAGCTGGTGGCCAATGTTAATTAGTTTTTGACGTAATACCAACAGTGGCTTCAGATCAAAGGCAGAGAACAAAAAGGCTTTGGGTGTTGGACCATTATTACTAAATGTTCCTTGGGTGGAAGTTCCGTTGGGAATAATTTAATTGTGAAGCTTGCTCTCCATAGTGGTTTTCTTATCTCTTCCTTATAAAAAGATAGGCACAACATATAAGTTGTCTGATCCTTTTCGAGTTTAATTATGATATTAATTTTGTATTTCTATCGTGGTTTAAGTTCCAACCCGCACATTGACGCACTTCGTTTCAGCCAGTCGTCTGACAGATTGCCCAACGCCGTTGCCGTACGTGGTACTCAAAACAGAATTATAATAGGCATCTCATTTCGATATACTTTACGTCTCTCATTTTATTTGAATTGTACCAAACAATAACTTATCTGAAATTGAGTATTATCATGTTGGCACTGGACTAAGTACCAGAAACCCCTTTTCTTTTACTATTTTAAGAACTTTGCAATTACTATCCCATATTAACTATGTTCAACACGGCTGCAAATATTTAAGCAATATATTTATTGTACAAATCCTGCTTTAAGACTTACTGTTACTAAGATTATACAAAGACTTGCCACTTTAAACAAAGAGATCAACCCGCTCTAAACTTCGACGAAATAATAGCTATTAGTAGTGTGTATACTTCGGGAATTGTTGGTGTATCAAAAGGTGTTCGCGAAAGAAAAACAAAACAAAGCAAGACTCTTTGGTTAACAACTTCATGTCGAAGTGCCAACGCACCCTTCGACTTCGAACGAACTGCCCTTCTATTGCCAACAGCTACAGGTGTTCGTTGCCACAAGCGCTATCAACAACGATAACAACAGACGTCGGATGACATTTCGTTTTGGCAAGTAAGTGGTCTCCTGGCAGAATTCGTCTTCGCCAGTTCTTCGCACCCGTTGGCTCGAAACGTGGCCAAACTCGTCGATAGCTCATTGTCATGCCATCTAAATAGCTAAATCTAAGTCTATTGTCGAAATCCAAAACAAGCAGGTAGGGACTGAATGCAATCGAGAATAGCAGGCTCAGAAATAGTTCAGATTACTGACACCAGATCATGAACTATGCCTCGCGCTTTCAGCGAGCTTGCAGCTTGACGAGGCGCCGTAATCCTAATAGCAACGACAGTGATATATTAGCTTTAAATTTCGTCGAAAAAAAAGCAACAACTTGACAGAGACAGAACTTAACCGCTATAATCAATTCCAGTTATGTGGGCAGAACGTTTTGCCATGCAACATCAGTCCAATCAGCTCGATCTCTCGACTTCAGCGGTCAGGACGGCACATTTCGTTCGTAGTTTGTAAGCAACTAGATTTCTTGGCCTGTTTTTCTGACGACAACGTATTGGAATCAGGATGTGTGATATCCAATAAAAAAGCGAAACGACGTTAACGAAACCATCGGTGTTGGTGGTTGACGATCCACAGAAAACACGATTGATGCAAAATGAAACGGGGCAGCATTGCGCCGTTATTGACGCAGTCATAGATTGCTCCGGCGCCATTGTCCGAGCGCGCAATTATATGTTCTCTCAGCGTAAGATTACTGAACACCTGCAAGTCTCCGTTGATAACGCCGTCGTTTATAAACTGACAATGAGCCAGGAGCGTACATAAGATGGGGTAACGGGGTGCGCAGTTGCGGTGCGGGGACAGGTCGTTGAGTAAAAACGAATTAAACTCGGTTTTCCTACACTTCGTAGTCCAATGATTGGAGAGACGCTAAGTGTCGCTCTAAAGAATAACGTAGCGGTCTCCCTCTCTCTGTATCACTCGTATTGCTTTGCCAAGAGCTCTGATAAAGAGTGATGAAGTTACGAAGGCGATAACTCACAACTAGCGTAGTCTCACATTGATCTTAAACGAGAACGGTACATTCGAAATTGGCAGACAGGTACGTCATACACAGGGATCAGAAGAGATGACACTCACCAGGTGTTTGACTGAATAGTTGACGGTTAAATTATGCGGTTAACACCAGGATAGATAATTGTCTTCAATGGCCAGCGGCTATATTTTTTGACCGTGGTGCCCTTTTTGATCCGATGCCCTCACGTAATGTTGTTTCAGAGACTAAGTGTGTTCTACACTCTTCAGTTGGAGGGCCTATTTCGACACTGTACTTTTTTTTTCATGTGAGACTTGCTGAGTTCTACTCGGTTACCACGTATCGATTTTGCCTGGAAGCGATAACCTCCACTGAATAGTAAAATGATAGTAGGAACCTGCGGTATTCTTTCGCTAGTTGAGGCACTAACAATTTTATGCAGTTTTTTCAATCAACTAGATTGGGCCCTTGAAAAAAGAGTCAATATTCTCCGGGTAAATTCGCAAGCATTTGACGTATCGAAAAATCGTTTCGACACCGTCTGCTGCAAAAAGACAGAACGCCTTTTTCCACAATTCTAAATTTATCACACTAACTAATCAGCGACCAGCTGCTTCAAAGGCCCCATTGTACAATCTACCATTCACCATTACAACAGAAACCGTTAGATTAAATCCGTACAGAGCCATGATGTTCGCATTAATCAATAGTGTTTTCCACTGTAGTCGAAAGCCACCGCCGTCAACGGTCATCCCCACGGGCGAAACGGTTTAGGATGCGGACAACAGAACGAAACACACAACACGACGTTCCTGTGTCTTCCCTGCCTGAGCGATCCGATATCGAATTCAAGGTTAACGATTTTAACCGTGGCGCCATTCCCTACGACGATGACGATTTGCCAGTCGGTTACACCGTTTACCGGTGGCGTTCGTGTTGAAAAAGCGCGCGCTGAATGACCCCATGAACGTCGAACGAGCGGACAAAGGAGCAATACCGATCCTGCCAGGTCAGCTGTTAATGATCGACATTAAATTCAATAGGAATACATAAGCTAATTATTCTATTATTTATCGGTATGTGATATCAGCTGACGGGTTTTACTGTCGAGAAAATCTCGATACAACCGAATACGTACGTGTCTCGGTAGCGCACAAATTGATTTTCTATGCAGAGAGTTCGGGGAATCGTGTTTGAACTGGTATCGGTTAAGTTATTGGGGATTGAAACTATATATGAATACGCGCACAGAAAGAAATGCCACATTTTGCTAGTTCGTGTGATACGAGGACTGTGGCAATGAGCGAAACACGTATGTGCAGATTACCTCGCTCGCACACTCTGGCAGAATGGCCTTCCATTGTTCCTGGCTCGTTGTCAAGTTGACAATTAGTCAACAGTCAACATCTACTAAATGTCTTTTATTCAAATGTAATTCACTTCTCTCCAGCATGCTTGACCTTTGACTGGTGTTCATCAACTACTGAAGCCCTTTGCTGGCCTTTAATGTTCTATTTTCGCTATCAAAGCTGCAACGCTTCCGGCCTCTGGAACGGGACGCGCGATAAAGAGCACTGACATCTTCTGGATCCATTGTTTTCTTTTAGACGCGCGCATTTCGAACGCATCTCACCGTTGTGTACAGCTGTTGCTTTCTATAGCCAAACTGTTTTCTTTCGTGTTTAGCAGCGTCTGCTTGATCTTCTAGATGTTTTTTCTCGGTTACAGGCACTTATAGAATAGTTCATAACACCAAATAACTGATACAATTTTCAAAGTTCAGTACGTCCGTATTGCATTCATCCGCATTGAGTTGCTGTTCTAAATACCTTCCCTTTGCGCTTCTGCCCTACCTCTATTATGCGCGTTGCGGTCGAGAGCCGGGCAAATAGTACCATCGTATCGAGGGCCAACGTCGACAAGACAAATGATTCTTTTTCGGACAAACTGTTTCTCGCCGTCCTGGTGTAGGCCGCCATCTTTGCAAACAGCTTCGCTACACCATCAGAATCAAGCGTGTCTATTGTCAGCTTGATGTGATGCTCGTTGGCGCCGATGCTGCCGTTAACTTCACTCGTGCCGTTACTCTGAATTATCTCTCTCTGAACAACATGTTGTTATACTGTCGCGGTGGCGCCGGCAGCACAAAAAGCTTTTGTGAAGGCCACGTCAGCCGTATAGACTATTACAATATATATTCAGCATCATGCATAAAACCGCGCAGCTGCTCTTCAAATAGCCCTTATGCCAGATTGCTATTTTATTCTATACTCGATATATATATATATATATATATATAGGGTAAGCAACAATCTGTTCAAAAGTCCTCAGTCAGCTTTTCTTTTGTTTTTCTTTACGCTTATTAGCAGATATAAAACGAAAATTCTGACAACTGTCAAGAGAGTTTTGCCTCCCTCTGTACATTTACATATACAGCTATTAAGTAACAGTTTTTTTGCCTTGTGCCATCACTGTCGATGAAATGCGTTGGTGCCTTAGCTAAGGTCGGTCCTATTAGCGTTAACATTACCTATTAATAGCCACACATTGACCGCTCAGGACGCGTCATGGGCTTCCCTAACATCCATGAAAGGCGACAGCTGCTGGGCTATATGTTACTGTTATTATCATTGAATTGTCAACATGGCGCAGCCACATGGTATGTGAAGATGAGTAACGGTTGGATGTTAATGTTTACCTTAAAAGCAACGTTTTCTATGACAGTGGTCAGTCAGTAACTGTCTATAGTTTTGTACGGCATATGGGTAAATCAATTGTAGCCCGTACCAGCTAGCCAAGTTACAGTACAGAAACATATATACATATATATAATGTAGATGTCCATAGACAGGTGATTTCAGCAGTACAAAGAGGCGAAGAACAGAAATTTCATTGCTCACCCATGGTATCACTGCGGTGTTCCACATGGCCGAAATCGTGCCAAGCTCCGCCTGCCGCCTCGATATTTCTATATTCTGAAATTGTTAAAAATAAATAGAAAAAAAGTACCAAACGATACGGCACATTGTTTCGAGTAAACGCGAAAAAACGAGGAAAGATGATCCGAATAAATTAAACAAAAAAAAAAAAAAACATTAGACGTGTCAAGCATAGACTAATAGATTGGCATGTATATAAATATTGGTAATAATTAGTAGAATAATATATTGAAAGAAACACCCTTTGGCCTAAAATTGGAACGTCTGATGTACTCTAGACAGGCTTAGGCATTTGAAGAGGTTACAAGTTTAGAATAGGAAGCGAAGGCAACATAGCTCTTGAAAAAACAAGATCTACATTTAGAATCGGTGCTAGAGCAAAATGGTTAACTAAATAAAAGTATTTAATTATCTAATAACACTATACGTTTGAGGTGTTTCGATTCGAGATCAAACTGGATAAAAAACGTTTTACCATATTACTTAATGAACATATGCTACGTATGGCCACACAGCTCTTTTGCGAAAGTGATTAACACGTTATTTTGTTCATTTCTAACGGTATCTATTACTTACGCTGCTTGCAAAGGTCGAACTGCAGCCGTTAGGTCTTTACCAGGATGAGAACGATAACTCGATCATCTGTAAACGGTCAAAGGCACAAACTACAAACGTCGTAGTAATCGTTGTAAAAACGATCATCTCGCATCACCGAGTTACTATCATGACTTCTGCAACGACTCAGAAACGGCTCGTCCGGCAACAGCTGCTGTTGCTGATGCGTCGTTTTCATCTTCGCGAAACTTCGGGGCGGCAGCTATTTGGGCTATGAGTTAGGTGTAATAGGGTCCCAGTATCGACGGGCATGATCATACGTATCCGATTAACGCCGCCGTTGCTCAATGATGTACAAAGACATGCAGTGAGAGAGAGCCGTACGCAACAGCATATTTCCTTCCCACTCATACAATGTGTACGTACGAGCTCCAATCGCTTGTCATGGCTATTTAGAGCGAGACTGGTATAGTGCGTCTGGCGAGAGGAAACGAATGACCAAATAAGGCTGAGTCATTTTTCGTATTTGTCCACCGACTGGTTTATAGTTAGTCTAGTGATAAAAACAGTAGCAGTGCATTTGCTAAAAATGACTATCGGTGAGCGAAGGTCTTTCTGGACAGAGAGACCTTTCGGAGAGGCGTTCATCTCACTCATCGTGCGTACATACGAACGAGGCACAACATGTTCATGTGTACACCGCGCACAAAATGGCGGTTCTACAAAAAAGCTGCCATTGTGACGACGGTGCGGTTACGGCAGAACATGGCTGGGTGCACTAAATTATAATGCACCCAGCACGTGCATGACCCTCAATTAGATCAACCGCGAGACGTATTTGAAATCAAACGAGGTACATGTGTTGATTTTTTACTCTCTCGAGACACAGTACAGAAAGGTTATATGAATATATTTTCCGCTTTGTTGCATTAGAAGCTATCCGTATTTTCTTTATCCTATAAAGAGTCCGCTCATCTAAACGAATGTTTAAAAACCGTATATATACGCTATACATTATTATCGGGATAAAAGTAACTTTAGTAATGGCTGTCTAAAGTAGCGAAAATTCATAGAATCCGCTATATGCCTATTCTCGTTTTAGCCATCTTTTATATATATATATATATATACGCGCAAATAGATTTAGTTGAACCTACATATGACAGAGTTATAAGTGTGAACGGTATCTATTTTAGGACCGGCCGATGAACGGTCAGCTGCATTCGTTTGCCTTTGGTGGTAAGAAAATCTGAAAAGGCGTCCAAGTCAGTCCATGTCGCAGTGGCCTACGCAATGGCATTGACGAACTCCGAATGAACAGCCAGCCGATTGACTCAAAAGACAGTGTGGGACGTTCGATTTTGTAGCAGTGAAGTGCGGCGTATAGACGTATAGTGTTGCCAGAACATTTTCTACGTGAGCGTTCCGTATCTTTAGGTCTTAACGATACCACCGGTCGCATAGAAAATTTCACACGAGACTTCAATGGTAGACATCCTCGTGTCGTGATCATGCATTGGCGTCGGGACAACATTTCGAAGTTCTACTTTGTGTCCAGTAGCCCTGAGTAAGGAAGTTACCGTTTAGTTAGGAATTGGCCTATGAAAGCTAAAAGCTCGTTTTAAGTATATTGTATACCAGCTGCTGGCCACATACAGGCTGCGAAAATATTCGCCCGATAAAAAGGGAGAAGTTCAAACTCGTTTTCGAACGTTTTAAAGACAGAAAAATCAGTTCTATGGCGTTTAATCCAATGGCTGAATTTACAGTTGTCGATATTAGATAATAAAAAAGCTGATACACACTGCTTCGTACTAGTCTAACTATTTGTGTGTACTCGTGGGACCTTTGAGATAAAATTGCCTCCATTAGGAAACAGACATCATCTACTATTATATAATCTCAAGACGAAGTAGATCGTGATATGCAGCGATGGTATAATACTGTTAATAACGTGTACAAAAACATTCCAAAAAACAGGGTACATATTCTGCATGAATTCACATCTAATAGCCGATATACAGACTACATTACATGAGACGTGAACGGCTAAATCAAGACAGATATGGCAGTCTGCAATTTTTATCGTTCCTTTACGAGATGATATAATTCATGTTACAGCCACGCTTAAGGCCGACGATTAGAGCAATTCTAGAGCGAAACGAGAAGTTGTCCTTCACTGCTGTTCAACAAGCACAGACAAATCGTGATGTCAGGCAACTTCTATCAATGACCAGGACGATCTGCAAAATTGAAAAAGTACTTGCAATATGAGCATCATTTTCAAAATCCTGATCAAGGCCGAACACCTGTCCTGAAACGACATATCAACTGGAAAGCAATTTCGATTAAGAGTGATAGCATTAATTAGTACACAAATATAAACCAATACACGAACTGTAATACGTGGTACAGCTTTTACCGGTACCGCTATTCCGCTCGTATTTTTTCTAAATGAGACAAATTAATTAAGGACATTGAATCGACGCACGCCGAATCAGCATCTATACGAGATACTCGACTGTATTATCATATTGATTATGTGCATAAATAATTTCTGTAGTGATGTAAATTCTTGTTCGATCAGTATAGATTTGAGGACCTGTCGCCTTCTCGATTACGTTCCGTATTCATTCTCATAACGGTCAGGCTTTCGCTAGCGCACTTCCATCGTTCATTATTACGGTTATTATTAACGATGACAGTGAAACTGAAGGCTGATGAACCACTGCACCTTTTGCTTAGACCAGCATTGGTAGCGCCAGTATTATGGGAGGCCTTGTCAAGAGGCGTGGGTGACGGTGTCCATTTATGATGTGTATCAGTTTCATCAAAGAGAGACTTCAACTCCCGCACAGATTGTACAGCCGCCACTGTCATTACAAGGGTAATCTGAATAAACCACAATAGACATTGGTTACGCCACGTCAATTGAGTTGGCTCTTCACTATTAAGCAGCACGTATCGCCGCTGATACCGTTTGTCAGTCATCAAATGGTAAAAAAGGCACAGACAAACAGAACTTACTTAGTGCATCGATTGTAAGCTAGCAAGTGGCAATTACATAGCTTATTTGTGGCGTAAGTATATGATCTGCGGCAATGTCACGCATCAGTATAGACGCCTCATTGAGGAAGGCGTGTGACATCAACGTAAATCTTACTCCATTTTTCCGTTATGTGCAAGCTAGCATGAGAACGTGCTGCTATCGTATCGTGAGCACAACTGACACCAGCTTGTAGTACTCTAGTGCCCTCCTATTCGATGTAGCGATTCAATTCTATAGCGCCGTTCTCGACTAAAACGCCGCTTACGGCATGAACTCGTTCGAACAACTTAAACCGATAGATTCGACAGATAAAAATGTCAACGGCGTTCCAACCAGTAATTCTATGACTTGTCTTCCTGGACAGCTATAGTTCTGGCAGTACAATTCGTCGTCATATCAAAGATATCCCCGCTATTCAGCTGGCGCAGGATCCTTCTCCGTCATTTACTTGTCTGGTATCACTAGTCATGGAGAAGTCTCTCGCCACCGGTGGGCATAAAGGTCGCTTCTGTTTCTCAATGGCCTTCAGAGGCACAATGGCATCACGTTCAACTGTGACCATTCTTTGTTTTTCGCGTCGTTGACGCTGTTGTATTTAGTCGCACTGTATTTTGTTTCTCAAGATGGCAGAATATTTTTTGCTTTTGATAAAGTGCCCCACGATACATAAGATCCCGATGTTTCCGGGTCTGTGTAGACGTTTGTTCTGTTATAATTATGAAAATTTAAGTAATTCAATGACGGCGCATTTGGCTCCGGCGATTTATGAAGATATATATGTATATGTACTATACGCGAAAAACGGGCACACATCGCAACCTATCACGGCGCGTATCTTAACGCAATTGAGCAAGCGTATTTGTCTTGGGAAATTTCCGTTAATTAAGCGATCTGTATGCTGTCCATCCTCTCAAAAATGAATATTAACGTGAAAAACCCCACGGAAATATTTTACTTATAATTAACCCTCGCAATAGTAAATATCCGAGTTTGAAAAAATGAAAACCTAACGTACTCGTCAACATTGTTTGTCCTGTTAAACGTTATATTCTATAAACCTTCATACTTAAAAGTGGGTTTATTAAACCATATAAGTTAACGTTGTCATTTGTTGCCAGTTATAGGTAAGTATTTAACAGGCGCCGCCTCATTTGCTACCTTCTTCTGTTTTTCCTTTTATGAAAGGTAGACAATACAGCTTAATGAACAATCGATTCCTTTTCGATCGAAAAGAGACCATTATCGTTAACACTAGCTATTCAGCTCGCAATATACCTCGATTCCCGTATGTTCCGTAATACCCAAACACTGATAGCCGTAATCTAAATCATCTGCGAACACAGCGACTGGCCGCCCAACATGAAGCCCACTAGGGCAAAAAACGATATTGACAGTTTTTCCTCCCTCCACCAGATCCACTTTTCAGATTTCTCAAACGTCCCGCATTGATCGCGAAGTGTTTCGACCATAGACAGTATGCTGTGCGGCTCAGTTTGTCTGCGATAGTTACTGCTGTGTCTGCGGCTAACTCTAAAAGGGTGAATTCTGGAATGCTACTGCCCCTATCATTTTGTCGTTTTTCCTTATCTTCAGTTTTTTTGACATCTGCTTCTTGTGATCCTGCGGACTGTCAATGCTTCTGTCGCAGTTCCCCCGTAGCGCAATGCAGGCCCCCACTCCTTTAACATTTCCTGAATCGGTACTCATACTACGCGAACATTGGCTGCACCGTGGAGCTGCTACTGGCAAAAGCTGAAAGCCGAGCTAGTAGTTGTCGTAACAAGAGTCGCTTATTGGTTAGTCACTTTTTGTTGTTGTTGTTGCTTCTGCTGTTGCTCTTGCTGTTGTTATTGCTGTTAGCCATTGCCATTGTCAAAGCAATCGGTGGCAGAAGAAGGGTTTTTATCTTTGTAGCCGTCTCATTATTCTAAATTCGTTGCTGATGGAACAGCTGGTACGAACAGAAATCTGAAAAAAGGTGGGGTAACCATTGCTAAAGGAAGGTAGAGGTCAAATTTGCGAGTACTTTATATATATATATATAGCCGCATGGCCGCAGGCTGATGGGCAGTAGGATAGAAGTGAGGAAAACGGACGAAGCCAGGTGCTTTTCGCTGTGTTTAGGATAGTTGAAATCTGACAGGCCTCTTCCAACGAAAACATTGAATAACTTGGACAAACGCCAACAGCGACGGTGCAGATGGTGGCAGCTGGTGATGATGGGTGAAAGTTAAGTGTCACCAGAATAACCAACAACACAATGTTGACAACTACGGACTAGTTAGGCAGGCGACAACAGTAACCGTAATAAAATCGGCGGATACAGTGAGGAAACAAGTCTGAGGTCGGAAAGGCTAAAAAAAAGATCACTGATTATTAGTACCGATTATATGGATTGCGACGGCAAGAGGTCTAAAGACGATAATCAATGTCACACGCAGTGATGGCTGTTGTGAACAAAAGAGACGTTTAGCTCGTCCTATCACCGAGGTACAGGACGAACTTGGTTAGATGGAGGCGAAAACGAAGCGCGCTCAGTACGAGTTACGGGTGCTTGTTAGAAGATAGGAAAAAGTGGCTATTCAGAAAAAGCTGTTGATAACAGTCATACGTTGGAGGAACTAGGACTAACATGTAGAGACGGTACAGAAGACGTGAAGCAGTTTGCGTGAGAGCAACTGTAGCGTGACGAAATACCGTAGGCCTAATGATAAGTAGAATTAAATACAGTGTTTCACATTTCCCGGTGGCAGATACGCGGGAGAAGGACTTGTCGACTCTGTGATGTTTCGAAGTAGTCTTAGTAAAATGACTGTGAATCTAAAAATCAGTGTGTATCGCACTAGCAGCTCCGATATCGACAGAAGATAGCTAAAACAA